CCGGTACGCCCATACCGGGGCGTACCGCCTACAACGCACTACTGGTTATATTTAGAAAAGGCAATGTTTGTCTATTAAGCTATGTCATTTTAAAGAAAGGTCTTAATTGTCACTGTGATACCACCTCATGATTATGCTTGGAAGAGAAATACATAACATGTTATAAATAACATGTGATGCTATTTATTTGCTTTAGAAATAAACAAGTTTGCTTCAGATATAAAAACGTAGCAAAACACAAGGGGAAAATGAAGAAAAAAGAGCATGATCCGAAACCAGGCATATAAAAAATAGCTCTCCAGCTGGAGAATTCTGGGAGTTGAAGTCCACACGTCTTCAAGTTGCCAAGTTTGAGCCGAGGTGGCGCGGTGGTTAGAGTGCAATACTGCAGCCACTTCAGCTGACTGCTAGCTGCAGTTCGGCGGTTCAAATCTCACCGGCTCAAGGTTGACTCAGCCTTCCATCCTTCCGAGGTGGGTAAAATGGGGGCAATATGCTGACTCTGTAAACCACTTAGAGAGGGCTGAAAGCCCTATGAAGCAGTGTATAAGTCTAACTGCTATTGCTATTGCTAAATCAACATAAAACAGTAGATTGTGATGAAGGAGATGTTTTAGCTAAGCTTTCTCCATTATTGCTGGCATCATTCCAACAGGAGGATTTTGGGAATGTAATATCAGTTTTGCAAGGTCAGAAGTGGTGTACTGAGCACATACGTTTGTCTTTCTACTCATGTAAACAGGATATCTGACAGCTAAATGCCCTTTCAGGTTTTTTAAAAAAAACTCCCATCAGCTCCACTGCATGGCGAATAAACCTGGATTGAGAAAGCTTTAATCGGGAATTCCTGTGCACCAACTAACTTTGCATCATAGCAGTCGTAATAGGGCTTGCTTATATAACTCTCCATAGAGCTTTACAGCACACTCTGAGCAGTTAACATTATCAGCATATTTCCCCCAGCAATCTGGGTCCTCATTTTACCGATCTTGGAAGGATGGAAGTCTGAGTCAACTTGAGCCCCGTCAGGATCGAACTCCAGGCTGTGGGCAGAGTTTGCCTGCAATTCTGCATCTAATCCAGGGGTGTCAAACTCAAGGCCAGATGCGCCCAGTGGGGTTCTTAAATCTGACCCGCAGGGCCAGGAGGCATCCATCCTGGCCCGCCAAGAACTACAATGCTGATCTAACCACTTTGCTGCAGGGCTCATAAAATACAGAGTGTTATTTAATGGGCAGTCTGAATTCACTCTAAAAACCCATCTAATCCAGATTTCTGTTCCAACAGCATCCATCCAGTTGTGCCTTTAGAAAACCCACAAGTGGGACCCCCTTCTTATCATCTTCCCCAATGACCATCTCCCATCTTCACTCTGAGTGTTCTGCTTTGTTGAGAAGGAAGCCAATGCTAATACAACCCGCAGCTTCCTTTGAACAAGTGTTGTTAGTGTTTTCTGAGCTTGGTTGTTGGCTTGCAGACGTTTCATTACCTGACTAGGTAACATCATCAGTGCTACTGAGGGTTGGAGTTGCACTGATGATGTTACCTAGTTGGGCAATGAAATGTCTGTAAGCCAACAACCAAGCTCAGAGAGCACCAACGATTCCACAGTTCAACCCTGAGCTAAAGGTATTCTTTTGACTCTGCATAATAGGCCTGTTGTGGGAAGGAAGGAAATTCACTAGAAGCATGATGTGTAATGCAAGCCTCCCCATCTCCATTCATGAGGGCAGATGATTGGATCATATAGTACCAAGTTACGTGTTTCTAATGGAACATGTAGTTTGACTTGTGCAGATCCTTGCAGATGCACTTTCCTACAATTAATTACAGTAATGAAGTACATGCATAAGTAAGAAAGTCTTCATATTGTATAGATCAGGGGTGTCAAACTCAAGCCCTGTGATGTGGTCGGATCCACAGGGCTGTCCTGGTCTACCCAAAGTGAAGAGGAAAGATCGGGTCAGCCTGGAAACTCTTCTCTTTTTCCTTCTTTTTTTTTCCCAACCAGCTTTTATTTACCACTAGATGGCAGTGCAAACATAATTCATCATCTCTTATCATTTGCTTGAAAACAGAGATTTTCAGAAATTATTAGCATTATTAGAAAAACAAATGTGCAAGGTAAAAAGTCTATAAAACTCTGTAAAAGGTAAAGAGTAAAGTCAAAGTCAAAGTTCCAATTTGCTTTCTAGCCCTTCAACAGTTAAACAGTTCTCAAGATCTATTGTTTCTTTTATTCTGTTAATGGCTCCCTCTGTCTGTTCGCTGCTGGTCCTTGGGTGGGAGATCTTTCTAACGCCTGTCCCCTCCCCCCCCCCATCTCCTGCCACTCTTTCTTTAAACAGTTTTTTTCAACCAGAGGTTAAGGTTAATTACAGGAATGTTGTACTTTCAAGCAATCTTGTTACCTCACCCAGACAAAGTACTTTGCTGATTTTCCAAGCTGCTCAGCTTGGAAGCTCACAATGGCTGCCTTTCCTGCTTTAGGTCCAGGAGCAATTGCATAGCAAAGTGCAGGTGTTTTAGGGGAGTTGCGTATTCCCCAACCACACCTACTTGTACCCGCCCCCTCTTCACTGCCCCAACAAGGCAGCTATGGTTAATCATCCCTCAACCTAGCAGGAAATCTGACGATTTTTTGGAGAGCCCCCCGGAGAACACATCCTGCTGCTGAGATTCAGGCCGCCCCACCCCACCCTTCCTGGCCTAATTCTGAGCTGCTTGGTAATGCCTTGGTTTTTCACCCATACCATTTGAATTGTTCTGCCCAACAGATTAGCCACACCGGAGAAGGGGAAAGTGATATGTTTTCCATCCAAGAAGTCAGTTTCCAGCCTGGTGGAGATTCAGACTGGCAGGAGAACAACTATACTCTCAACACTGACTCTCTAGACTGGGTAAGAGAATTTGTAATATTGTGTATGTTTTTATGGGAATGATTGTTGATAGGAAATAACTTTCTTCAACTTTGTAGCCTCCAGGTAGGCTGAAATTGTAATTTCTCCCACCCAGCACCATGGGGCTGCCTTGGGATTTCTAGAAGGTGCCGTTCCAACAAATCTGGAGGGTGCCAGGTTGACAAAAGTGTAAGAGTGTGTACTGCTGGTATTGTGAGTGAAGGAGGTGCTGGAATCACACCACGTGAGAGACTAGGCTAAAACAGGTTGAATGGTTTATGAGTCACTTTCTAGTGAGGAACCAACCAACGTTGTGCTAACCAAGTTGTTGCCTAAAGTCAACGTATAATTGGGGTATAACATATGGATTGAACATTGCAGTTGGGTTCGAGTTGTTGCCTAAAATCAACATGTAATTGGGGTATAACATCTGGATCGAACATTGCAGTTGGGTTCACATTACTGACTTGCTGCTAAGAAAACTGCAGGGACTAATCTTGATGTCGTCAGCAGTTAAGCTCAACTCAAACGAGAGCTTTTTTTTTTAACCCAGTTAAAGAGTTTAATTGGTATGAATCCAATCATTGAACATTCCTACTTGAGACAAATGATCCTCCCATCTTGAGTTCCCACAATTTAGGACAGATTGAGAAAATAGGGATTTCTCTTCCTGTGAAATGTTTTATAAACTTGAGAAAACCCCAATATTATGTGCCGAAAAATACGGTAATGAAATATGTTTGTTGGGAAAAATGCTACGAGACCCCCGTTTTCCCCACCGTAGACTGACTGATATGACTGCCCTTCTACAATGTGTGCATTTCTTGTGTCTTCTTACATATCCAATCATCTTCCCAGGCCCTGTATGACCACCTGATGGATTTCTTGGCTGACCGAGGGGTGGACAATACATTTGCAGATGAGCTTGTGAACCTCAGCACAGCCCTGGAGCACAAAGAGTACATTCGGTTCCTTGAAGATCTGAAGCATTTTGTCAAATGTCAGTAGGCTGAGTGAGCTATGTGGAGGTCAATCTATTCTTTCAAGGGAGTTTGAGAGTGGGCTACTTTTTGCCCTCCCAAACCTGGACTCTAGTTTTAAAACCCCGGAAAACTACAGAAGTGAGGATTGAAGCTTTTCTTTGGAGTTGATTATATCCGCTCGAGGGTTAGAGGGGGAATGAGACATTACAGCCATTCTGTAACTGTAGGCCGTCCAGCTGTCCACTAGTTTGAGGAGGTTTGTACAGTTTAAAAAGGAAAATAAATAATGTGAAAATAAATATGAATCTTGAACTATTATTGTAAAGTGAACTGTATGGGTATGCTTAAAGGTAAAGGTAAGCACACAACACATATGTGCTAGTCGTTCCTGACTCTAGGGGGCGGTGCTCATCTCCATTTCAAAGCCGAAGAGCCAGTGTTGTCCAAAGATGTCTCTGTGGTCATGTGGCCGGCATTACCAATCAGTATACATTAACTCCAAGGTTAACTTCAGTCCAACAGTTAAGTAAGAAATACCCCAATCAAGAAACTGAGGAAACAGCCCAACCAAAAGGCCATGCCCCCTTGGAGTCTGACTCTGAGATGGAAGACAGCTGACACATAGCAGGAGAGTGGCTCCATTGGCTGTGGAGGAAACTGGACAAAGGCAAAGTCAGGCTGGGCAGAGCAGGGGAGAGGTAGAACAAGGGAGAGGGGGTTCAGATGAAGACCAAGGCCCACCCCCTCCTCATCCTAGGGAGCGCAGGAAATAACGCAGAAGAGAGCAATGGGGGTTGTGTGGTTTACAAGGTGGTCTGGATAAAAAAAATCTTTTTTTATTGCACTAAATTGGGGGTCCTCAAACCGGCCCCTGGACCAGATACGTGCCATGAACGCTTGTGTTGCTGCAGAGAATCTCCCCCTTCAGGGTCTTTTTGTGCAGGTTGGAGGGGGGCACAAATTCCGACATGGGGTCTGCTTCAGCCTGCTGGTGCGGGGCTTTGGGCGAAGGCTGGAGGGAAGTGCCGCTGGTGGCGAAAAGCCAGAGGGCCTTGTTCCAGTGGGACTGCATCCTGGCCTGGAACTGGCTGACCAACTCAGCCTGATGAGCCCCCAGGCGCCAGTACCTGGCCTTACGCTCCCATAGGTCTTCCCTCTGTTTGGAAAGCCTATACTCGTAGTCCTCAGTGAGATGTTTTTGCTGAGTCTCCTTCTTGGTCAGAATTTGAACTGAGCCAGCTGTTCTGCTAACTCTTGTGGTGGTTGCTTAGCTCCAACAACTGCTTCCTGTTAGGGCCCTAAGGAGCCCAGGCGAGGAGTGGCTGGGAGGGGAGGGGCCCCTCAACATGAGTGACATCAAATTGGCCACGCCCATCCAGTCACATGACCACCTAACACCTCTCACCCAGCCAGTCAGTGGCAGATCATATTAGTGGTCCGCGGGATTTAAAATTAAGAATTTAGTGGTCCCTGAGGTCCAAAAGGTTGGTGACCCCTGATCTAGGCCATCCTGAACAGCAGCCCCAAGGCTGGGCCTGACTAGAGGCCTGGGCCTCAATTTCAACCCTACTATGTCTGGTGCCACTCAAAAAGAATACACTGCACCATTCCCCAAAGTATGCGAGCCTTGAGGAATGGCATGGTTGCCCCCAGGACTCTATTGCTCCTCAGGATCTGCTACACTCTCTAACCTTCAGCCAGTTTCTTTCTGGGGCCTACCTGAGGCTGCTCCAGATCACACAAGGTCTCCATTCTTCAAGGAGCCTTGGAGAATGTTTTTCCATTGCCTCTGCAGCTTCCGAAATCCACATGAAAGCATGCATTATTCTTACACAATTTTGGAGGTGCCGGAAGCTTTGCAGAATTTTCTGAGGCTGAGCAAGGGCACGCCCCATTCTTTTTTTTTTTCAATCAGATTTTTATTTTTTATATTCTTTATACATATCAATGCGTGAATGGTGTGGTCACTGGGTAACATTCATTTCAGTACACATAAACATAGTCTTATTATTCCTAAATATTACATTTCATTTCCATTGTTTCATATTATTTATACATGTCTTTTATTATCACCCTTTCATTTCTGAACCATCTTTCTGTCCTTTTGTATATCTTAACATATTAATGTATAATTATTATTTCCCCACTCTATTTTCTATCCCTATTTTAACTTCCCCCCCCCTTTCATATCGCTATAATATTCAAAGATGTGTTTTCCACCTATTTTGTGGTTCAT